GGTTTAGGGTTTAGGGTTTAGGGTTTTTGGGTTCAGGTCTAGGGTTTAGGGTTAGCGCAACCTGGCCCTCATTCCTCATGGGTCTCGGGCGGGCTTATAGAGATTCCAAACGAGGTTTGAGCTTCGGAAATCCCAAACCCTGCACCCTAAAGTCCCCCTAATCCCTACACCCTAACCCCTAAACCCTGAACCCTAAACCCCAAACCCTAAACCCTAAACCCCCTAAGTCCATAAGCCCCGGCTGGCCCAAATACCTAAGGCGGATCCTCCGTCTCCGCCACCCTTGCGGCGGCTGCTGCGAGTTCTGCCGTCAGGACCTGGCGAGTGAACTTTAGGGTTTAGGGTTTAGGGTTTAGGGTTTAGGGTTTAGGGTTTAGGGTTTAGGGTTTAGGGTTTAGGGTTTAGGGCTTGAACCACTTCACATCGGTTGAGGGCTGGGGCTTGATTAGGACTTAGGGAGTAGGGTTTGGGGGTTTAGGGTTTAGGGCTTGGGTGTAGGTCTTAGGGATTAGGGTTTCTTGCGCTGCACGCTCTCATCGGCGCGAAGGGCCCCCCCCCTAAAAGGGTTTAGGGTTTAGGGTTTAAGGCCCCCCCTAACTCAAGACAGAGTTGAAAGCGTCCCAACTGGGTGCTGAGGAACTGCTACAACTCAGTCATGAAGAAGGTCCCTCGAAACTTGGTATTGTATAGACCCTAAACCCTAAACCCTAAACCCTAAACCCTGAAAAGGACCCCCCAAACCCTATAAACCCAAAAGCCCCGAAACCCCGAATCCACCTCTGAACGCTGCTCCGCCCGCTCTGCACGGCGCAGCAAGCGCACAAGCTCCTGGCCAAGCCAGGGGTTTGAACAGGGCATATAGGGTCTTGAAGGTTTAGGGTTTAGGGTTTAGGGTTTAGGGTTTAGGGTTTAGGGTGCAGGGTTTCGGGTTTAGGGTTTAAGGATTTAGGGTTTAGGGTTTAGGGTTTAGGGTTTAGGGTTTAGGGTTTAGGGTTTAGGGTTTAGGGAAAGGGTTTGAGGGTTTGAGGGTTTAAGGTTTGAGGGTTTAAGGTTATGGGGCTCGCTGTGGAGGGTTTGGGGCTTGTGGGGCTTGTTCCCTAAACCCAAAAGGGTTCGTCGGCTTTGCCGTCTTGTGTTGCACGGCGCCTCTTGCTACGTCAGCAGCTCAGTAGGCGGATCAAGAGACAGTCAAGCCACGCCAACACCCAAACAACCAACAGGGTTTAGGGTTTCGGGTTTAGGTCTTAGGGTTTAGGGTCACGCGGGTGCTCACGGGGTTTAGCAGGCTTGGCTTTGGGGCTTGCGGGTGTCGGCCTGCGAGCACGTGGAAGGAAGGTTGAAAATTTCAGGGTCTAGGCTTCAGGGCCTGAAAGCTTCAGGGCCTAAACTCTAAACCCCAAACCCTAAACCCTAAACCCTAAACCCTAAACCCTAAACCCTAAACCCCAAACCCCAAACCCGGAGCCGGCTGCTGGCGTCCTCCGTCTCCTCCTGTTCCAGGAGGCCTGCCGGAGAAAGCGTGGCAGGCCTCAGTCTGACAGAACAAAAGCCCTAAACCCTAAACCCTAAGGGTTTAGGGTTTAGGGTTTAGGGTTTAGGGTTTAGGGTTTAGGGTTTAGGGGTTAGGGTTTAGGGTAAGCCCTACACCCTAAACGCTCAACCCTAAGCCCTAAACTCGAAACCCGAAACCCAAAGCCTTCAAAGTCCAAAATTCGAAGCCGCCGCCCCTGCCCCCAAGGAAATAGCAATGCAAATGAACGCAATACATAAACACAAATATTAATAGATGAATGAATGAATGAATGAATCCATGAATGAATGGATGGATGGATGAATGGATGAATGGATGAATGGATGAATGGATGAATGGATGAATGGATGAATGGATGAATGGATGAATGGATGAATGGATGAATGGATGAATGCATGAATGGATGAACGGACGAATGGACGAATGGAGGAATGGAGATAGGGTTTAGGGTTTAGGGTTTAGGGTTTAGAGTTTAGGGTTTAGGGTTTAGGGTTTAGAGTTAGGGTTTAGGGGGTTCATGGGTACTCATAACCCCAAAGTATAAGTCTACTTCTAAGCTGCTTCAGAGGACTTAGCAGACTTAGGGGGCCTATAAGTACAGTAATCATTGAGGTTCTAAGTACCGAAGCTCTATAACAGCCCACCATTCTCGAACCTATTCCCCCCCTCCCCCCGCCCCCCGCCGCCCTGTTGGAGACTGGCCACCCGAAATCCATCTAACCCCGAAAGGACCAGAACAAAGTGGGAGAACAAATCTCAAACACCCTCGAATCCTTTGGGAAAAATGAGGGGGTTTGGGGCATAGGGTTCTAAGAGCACAGGATCTGTTCAAAAATCAGGGGCCAGCTGTTCTGGGAGGCTCCTTGAAAAAACCCAGGATGTAAGAGTTTTTATGGTGTCCGGAGTTTAGGCTTTGTGGCGTCAGCAGTTTCGAGGTTAAGGTAAGCTGGTTAGCATCTTTGACACCCTGCAGGCTCCGATGATTGGGTCGCTCTCTGCTTTTTTTCCAGCACGCCCGCAGCGCTCACGCACTGGAGTTCGGGCCAAAGAAGGCTCGAACTGATGCCTGGCACTTTCTGAGAGCGTCCCCACTATCCCTACTACGGCAGGCTGGGTCTCTCTCGCAGGCTGTACCCTAAACCCTAAACCCTAAACCCTCAAAGCTAGGCTCGTCAAGCCGCTGTACCCTGGGCCCTGGGACCTCGCGCTCCTCTGCGCGCGGGAGGGGGGCCACTCATGACGATTCTTGCGCCAGGTGGCCAAAACATGCAAGAACCCAGCCGAAACCCCAAACCCGAAATGCAAAAGCCTAAAACCTCAAGCCCCCAAACCATGCAACGTCAAGCCTCCTGAACCCAAAGCCCTCAAGCCATATAACGTCAAGCCTCAAAAAACCGGCAGAAGACAAACACAGGCGAGACGCATCCCCGCTATTGCTTCCAAATGCGCTTTGGGTGCATCCTAAACCCTAAACCCCAAACCCCAAACCCTGATCCCTAAACCCCTAAACCCTAAACCCTAAACCCTAAACCCCAAACCCCAAACCCCAAACCCCAAACCCCAAACCCCCAACTCCACACCCAAATGCCTTGGCTCGCCCGCTCCCCTGTCGCCCCCCCCCCCCCCCCCGTCGCCCCCCCGCCGCAGCCATTTATCGTGTCCACAAAGGGATAGGGCTTAGGGTTTAGGGTTTTAGGGATTAGGGTTTAGGGCTTAGAGTTTAGGGTTATCACCCCAAAGCCTAACTAACGCCAAATAGAATCCAAAAACCCTGAGCCCTAAATCCATAACAACCTACAGGAAGTTTTAGGATAGGAGATTCTCACCGTGAGCCCTGAAAATCTTAAAACCCTAACCCGAAACAAACCCCTTGCCTCCACGCCGTGTGTAGGTTTGGGGTAAACCCTAAACCCTAAACCCTAAACCCCAAACCCTAAACCCTATATCCTTAACCCTTAACCCTTAAAACCCTAAACCTTTGCAGCCACTCGGCGACAAAGAGCCCTTTGCCCTCTCTGCCGGAAGCTCGCTGCCAAGCCCCTCTCAGCTGGGGGTCCTCTCAGCTGGGGGTCCAGGCGTTTGGGGTTTGGGGTTTAGGGTTTAGGGTTTAGGGTTTAGGGTTTAGGTTGAGAAAAGTTCCGGTTCCAGGGTCGTTTAGGGCTTTGGGCTTAGGGCTTAGGGTTTTGGGTTTAGGGTTTAGGGCTTTTGCTTAGGATCAGTTTCAATGGTTCTGGGTTTGAGGCTCCGGGTTCAGGGGCGCAGCACGCGGGCCTTGACCTTGAACGCGCGGGTCTCCTTCGAACGCTCAACCCCGTCGCAGCTTCGGTTGCCATTGTCCGTCCGCGTCCTCCGCAAGCTCGCGTAAAAGACACAAGATCTCGCAAAGCTGCGATACCATCACAGAATATGGGCATGGCACATACCACTGCATTCCAGGACGTTACATCAGAATACATCATGTGACATTCTACCTTCACCCTAAACCCTAAACCCCAAACCCCAAACCCCAAACCCCAAACCCTAAACCCTAAACCCTAAACCCTAAACCCTAACCCTAAACCCTAAACAGACATCATGTGACCTTCTACTTCAATGCAGCCCAAAGGCATCAGGGCGGAGACGAGGTCCTGCCACACGGAGAATGTGCTGTAGTGGCACAAGGGGGGCAAAGATCGTGTAAGCTGGAGAGCTGACAATTTAGGGTTTAGGGTTTAGGGTTTAGGGTTTAGGGTTTGGGGTTTGGGGTTTGGGGTTTAGGGTTTAGGGTTAAGCCCAAACCCCAAACCCTAAACCCTAAACCCTAAACCCTAAACCCTAAACCCTAAACCCTAAACCCTAAACCCTAAACCCTAAACCCTAAACCCTAAACCCTAAACCCTAAACCCTAAACCCTAACCACTAAACCCTAAACCCTAAACCCTAAACCCTAAACCCTAAACCCTAAACCCTAAACCCTAAACCCTAAACCCTAAACCCTAAACCCTAAACCCTAAACCCTAAACCCTAAACCCAAAACCCAAAAACCCAAACCCTGAGAGCTTAAGTGACCATCTGCAATCCTCGAAGTCTCCCGGACCGGGAACTGCGAGGGTCACGGCTCAGGTGCGTCGCCAGCGTCACCAGCCTACGGCTTTTTAGGCGTGAGGGTCCGAGAGTTTCGGGGTCCTGCTCGTAAGATCATGTTTGTGCATTCTGGCTCGTCTACCTTAGAAGACCATGAGAACGCTTCAAAGGCCTCAGAACCCGTCAAAACCCTCGAAACGCGCAGAACCTTTAGAACCCGGAAAACCAGAAAACAGAGGGCCCTTGAAACCCTCAACACCTGTAAAAAAAAAATCCAAAACCCTAACCCTAAACCCTAAACCCTAAACCCTAAACCCTAAACCCTAAACCCTAAACCCTAAACCCTAAACCCTAAACCCTAAACCCTAAACCCCAAACAAAAAAAAGCTCGGCGGCCTTCGGGCTGTCAGGTCCATTTCTCGCAGCTTAAGATATGCGAGCCAGCCACTCTCCTCAAATAACTCGAGGAGGAGGGCTTGGGGTATGTAGGGCTTAGGGTTTAAGGTTTAGGGTTCAGGGTTTAAGGCTTAGGGTTTAGGGCTTAGGGCTTAGGGTTTGGGGTTTAGGGTTTAGGGTTTAGGGTTTAGGGTTTAGGGTTAGGCGGGTTAGGGTTTAGGTATGAGGGCAGGGCGCAAAGGCTGTGTGTTTTGGGGCTGTTCACGTCCCAAACAGCTCAAAGGCAACCGCGCCGAAGAAAAACCTTTGACCTTCGGGAGCTGGCAAAAACGTACCCTTGTTTAGGTCTTAGGGTTGTAGGGTTGTAGGGTTTTAGGATTGTAGGGTTGTAGGGTTGTAGGGTTGTAGGGTTGTAGGGTTGTAGGGCTGTAGGGTTGTAGGGTTGTAGGGTTGCAGGTTTGCAGGGTTGTAGGGCTGTGGGGTTGTAGGGTTTAGGGTTTAGGGTTTGGGGTTTGTGACTTGGGTTTTAGGGTTTAGGGTTTAGGTAGGGCTTTAGGATTTAGGATTTGCGGTTTGGGGTTCCGGGTTTGGGTCTGAGGTGTGGGGCTTGAGGAATCCACACGCCTAAGCCGTAAACCCTAAAGCCTAGAGCCCTAAAACCCTACACCCTAAACCCTAAACCCTAAACCCTAAACTTTTCCGCAAAAGCCTCGGAAAGTTCTTCACGAGGGGGCTTGCGCGATTGTCGCCGGCCGTCATGGACTGGAGCGACCTAGTCGACGGACCCACGCTTTTAGGGACAGCTCGGGCTCCCACGTGCTCGGGTTTAAGGGTTTAGGGTTTAGGGTTTAGGGTTTAGGGTCTAGGGTTTAAGGTTTAGGGTTTAGGGTTTAGGGTTTAGGGTTTAGGGTTTAGGGTTTAGGGTTCAGCTACTCAATGAGAAAACCCCTAACATGATGTTGGGATTCAAACAACTCATGGATCCCCCGCACGCGCTCTCCGGAGTCCTATGTCCTATCAGGATTTAGGGTTTAGGGTTTCAGGGCTTAGGGTTTAGGGTTTAGGGTTTAGGGTTTAGGGTTTAGGGTTTAGGGTTTAGGGTTTAGGGTTACAAGGATCGGTTCAGAACTGGGGTGCCTTTCAAGCGCCCGCTATGATCGGATTCCTTTTCGAGAGGATTCCCTCAATGCAAAAAGGATAAGTTCAGAACAACCCCCGACAATTGGCCTAAACCCTAAACCCTAAACCCTAAACCCTAAACCCTAAACCCTAAACCCTGAGGCCGCCGACTGCATCAGCGGCTCGAGCGGCACCACCTGCGTTCGGGGCTTCGGCCCAGAGTGAAGATAGGGTTTAGGGTTTAGGGTTTAGGGTTTAGGGTTTAGGGTTTAGGGTTTAGGGTTTAGGGTTTAGGGTTTAGGGTTTAGGGTTAAGGGTTTAGGGTTAAGGGTTTAGGTTTAGGGTTTAGGGTTTAGGGTTGAGGGTTTAGGGTTAGGGGCACAGTGGGCCTGCTGACTACTCATGTCGTCTGTTCTGTCATCTCCCACCTGTTTTCAGGGACTTGAGATGCTCATGACAAGCTGACACCCCAATTCACCCTGAACACACTGTCCCCTGAAACCTAAACCCTAAACCCTAAACCCTAAACCCTAAACCCTAAACCCTAAACCCTAAACCCTAAACCCTAAACCCTAAACCCCAAACTAGCTCAGAGGGCTTCATGGTGTTGGGTTTAGGGAAACGCTCTATTTTACTCCAGGCGGTGGAACCCCTTCAAGCCAAGGTAACCCTGAAGCTCTTGAAACCCAAAAGCCCTCAAGACATAAAGCCACCCTACACTCTACAATACAACCCTAAACCCCAAAACCTTAAACCCCCTAAAACCCTACAACAACCACAACACCCTAAACACGTAAACACCAAACCCCTAAACAGCCCTTCTAGAGGGGCCTTAACAAGTGGAAGATCTTAGGCGAATAGCATTAGGAATTCTTCCGACCCCTATAAAAACATCTGCAATGCCCTGAAGCCTCAAACCCCGGCCTCGTCTGTCGGAGCCCACATGCTCCTGGGGCCCAGTTCCCTGAGACTCAGGGTTTAGGGTTTAGGGTTTAGGGTTTAGGGTTTAGAGTTTAGGGTTTAGGGTTTAGGGTTTAGGGTTTAGTGTTCAGGCTTAAGGGTTGCAAGGTTTTAGAATTCTAGGGTTTTGGGGCTTGAGGACCTTCGCGTAGGTGCATGGTCCCTTAATATGGCCCCTGAAAAAGGGGACCCCTTATCTATCTTTAAAAGAAGGGACCATGTAACTACCCGGTTTAGAAAGGATTTGGGGATTTAGGTGCTATGCTTGGGGGTTCAGGGCTTCAGGGCTTCAGGGGCTTCAGGGGCTTCAGGGCTTCAGGGCTTCAGGGCTTCAGGGCTTCAGGGCTTCAGGGCTTCAGGGCTTCAGGGCTTCAGGGCTTCAGGGCTTCAGTAGACCCCAAACCCTCAACCCCAAACCCTAAAACGGGCTTTCAGGGCTTGGGTAGTGTTAGAGTTGAGGGCTTCTTGAAGTTGGTTGGGTGGTTCAGAGATTTTGGGTGAACCCTATACCCTACACCCTAAAAAACCCTAAGCCCTAAACCCTAAACCCCAAACAGCCCTCAAACCGGATTTGCGGCGACATTTAGGGGCCCCTCCAGCATGGGCTATCAGGCCCTATGACCCCCATAGTCAACGCTATAAAGGGCCTTTTAAAGGGGTTATGGCCCTAAACCCTAAACCCTAAACCCTAACCCCTAAACCCTAAACCCCAAACCCTAAACCCTAAACCCTAAACCCTCAGGGGCCCTTAGCAGTCCTGTTGGCCGGGACGAAGTGCACGTGCAGCCGGAAGATGTTCGGGGGGAAGTGCAGGAACATGGCCAGGTCACGCTCATCCCTGGCCGAAGCTGCTTTAGGGCTTCGGGGTCAGGGTTTAGGGTTTAGGGTTTGGGGTTTAGGGCTTAGGGTTTAGGATTTAGGGTTTAGGATTTAGGGTTTAGGGTTTAGGGCCTCGGGTGCAGGAATTTACCCCCCCCCCCCCCCCCCCCCCCCCCCGCTCCCCCAAACAAAACAAAACCTTCAACGCCAAATTCTACAATCCTGACACACCCTTCAGGGCCCCCAAGAAAAGCCCTCAGAGCCCAAAAAAGTCCAACAAAAGCTTCCAGAACCCAGTTAAGCCAGACCTGCTCCCCAAACCCTGAAACAGCCGTTCAGTTGAGGACGGTTCAGGGTTCAGGGTTCAGGGTTCAGGGTTCAGGGTTCAGGGTTCAGGGTTCAGGGTTTAGGGTTTAGGGTTTAGGGTTTAGGGTTTAGGGTTTAGGGTTTAGGCCCTTGGGAACCTCAGCGTCGGATGGCGTTCCAGCACGGCGCGGCTGCCCTCCGAGAGCAAGCCCTGCAGAAGGGAAACGTGCCTGACAGCTCTCAAAGAGTGGCCTTCCTTCATGTGTTTAGGGTTTAGGGCTAGGGTTTAGGGTTTAGGGTTTAGGGCTTAGGGTTTAGGGTTTAGGGTTTAGGGCTTGGGGTTCAGGGTTTGGGGTTTGGATGGATTTGGAGTGATGAGATGTTGCAGTGTCTGCTGGAGGTCTATGGCTGCGTGAAGGTTGGTAGGTACAGTTGCGGGTAAGGTCTATGCAGGGCGTTTAGGGTATGTCCCGAAATACATACAACCTAAACCGGCCCATACCCTGAACCCTAAACCCGAAACCCCCAAACCCATTGAGACCCCCAGTACCCAGATTTCGGAAACCCTGAATGACACAAAGATGACATGCCGTCGTTTAGAGGGTTTAGGGTTTAGGGTTTAGGGTTTAGTGTTTAGGGTTTAGGGTTTAGGGTTTAGGGCTTAGGGTTTAGGGTTTAGGGTTTAGGGTTTAGGGTCTGGGGTTTAGGGTGGTAGTTGCATGGTCCCTGAGTATCGGGCCTGACAGTGCAACTTCCCTTAGATGTTAGGGAGTCGAGGGTCTTTGGGGAAGTTTCTGCGGACGAGTTCAGGGAGGAAGCTCTAAAATAACATATCCATACCCCGAACTAACACTTGAGGCCCTGAAACCAAAAAAACCCTGAAACCTTAAACCCTAAACTCCCAGAACCCTGAAACCTTACGCCCGAAAGCCCAAAAACCTGATACCTAAACCCTAAACTCCAAAAACCCTGATACCTAAATTCTGAACTCTAAATCCTAAACCCTAAACCGGAAGCTCCAAACCCATAAAGCCTTGGGCCCATATCCCTACACTACACCCTGCACACCCTAAACCCTCAACCATACCCCAGCCCTAGAATATGATGCCTTAGAATCAGAATCCCTGTTTGAAATCACCCCCCCTGCCCCATCCCCGAAAACCTGCACCCCTAAAGAAAACCCCTGAAAAAGCCTAAACCCTAAACCCCCCAACCCCCAAGCAACCCCCCCCCCCCCCCCAACCTAAACCCTACACCCCATGGATCCGTAAACCCTATACAAACTCATAAACCCTGTAATCTCCCTAAACTCTGGAATCTCCCTAAACCCCCTTCGGCTTCTCCAAGGGTGCTTTCATGGGCCTTCGTATGGGCCCTTAAAAGGGGGCCCTACAATACCTCTTATATACCCTATACAACCCGAGGGCCCATAAATCACAACCCCTCTCAAGGAGGTGAGGGGCCATACTAAGCGCCCATGAAACCTAAACCAAACCCTAAACCCTGAATTCACCCTAAACCCTAAACCCTAAACCCTAAACCCTAAACCCTAAACCCTAAACCCTAAACCCTAAACCCTAAACCCTAAACCCTAAACCCCATTCCCGAAACAAGCCCGGCACCTATGCCGGAGCTCCCCAGCGGTGCGGAGGTCGACGTGCGTCGACCAGGCAGTGTAGTGAAAACCTTAGCTTGACGGGTTTAGGGTTTAGGGTTTAGGGTTTAGGGTTTAGGGTTTAGGGTTTAGGGTTTAGGGTTTAGGGTTTCGGGTTTCGGGTTTCGGGTTTCGGGTTTCGGGTTTGGGGCTAAGGGTTTAGGGTTTAGGGTTTGGGGTTTGGGGTTTAGGGTTCAGGGTTTAGGGTTTAGGGCTTTAGGGGGCTTAGGGGTTTGGGGGGGGGGGGGGGGGGGGCGGGGGGGCGGACTGGTAGGAGGTATGATGGTAGAATTATAAAGAGCCTATGAAGGAATTCGTGTCGTAACTGTTCCAACCCCCTATATCTTAGGGGTTAGGGTTTAGGGGTTTGCGGCTCCCATGCCGCAAGCCCTAAAGACGAAACCATCAAGGCTACAGGGTCTAGGGCTTAGGAGATCCCTACATCCGGAAACGTGAAACCCTAAACCCTCCAAATGCGCCCTAGGTTGGTGCTTCGTCTTCCCTGGACCTGAGGCCCCTGAACCCTACACTTCCCCAGAGCCCTAACCCCTAAAACACTTCACCCGAAACCCTGAGCCCCAATGCTAAACCCTGAACCCCAAACCCGAAACCCCAAACCCTATACAATTAACCCCAAACCCTAAACCCTCAGCCGTAAACCCTAAACCCTAAACCCTAAACCCTAAACCCTGAACCCTGAACCCTGAACCCCTAAACCCTAAACCCTAAACCCTAAACCCTAATCCCCAAGCCAAGATGCTCTCGGGCGTCATCTTTGGGTCCTTCGAAAGAAACTCAGAGGACTTGACATCTGGCATGGGCATTTAGGGGCTTTAGGGTTTAGGGTCTAGGGGGTTTAGGGTTTAGGGTTTAGGGTTTAGGGTTTAGGGGTTAGCGTTTAGGGTTTAGGGTTTAGGGTTTAGGGTTTAGGGTTTAGGGTTTAGGGTTTAGGGTTTAGGGTTTAGGGTTTAGGGTTTAGTGTTAAGGGTTAAGGGTTAGGTTTTTGGGTTATGGGGCTTTACAGCTTTGGGGGTTTTGGGGCTTGATGCGGCCCTCAACCCTCAACCCCTAACCCCTAACCCCTAAACCCTAAACCCTAAACCCTAAACCCTAAACCCAGTGGATGCAGGGCTCCTTGACAAGGCGCCAGTCCCTGCTGGAGTAGATGGTCCCGTCGCCATCGTAGCTTCGGGCCTCGGGAGTTCTAGGGCTTATGGGCCCTAGGGCTTCATCCCTACACCCTGAACCCTGAACCCTAAACCCTAAACCCCAAACCCTAAACCCTACACCCTAAACCCTAAACCCTAAACCCTGAACCCTAAACCCTGAACCCTAAACCCTAAACCCTAAACCCTAAACCCGAAACCCTAAACCCTCAACACAACAGAAACGGAGCCTGCAGGACCCTTCGATTGTGGGGGCTTGGGGCCCACAAGGCGCTTTTCAGGCGCAAACGCGGCATGGCGCGACCATGCTTGGGAAGCAGCTCCAGTTGAACGAACAGGGTTTAGGGTTTAGGGTTTAGGGTTTAGGGTTTAGGGTTTAGGGTTTAGGGTTTAGGGTTTAGGGTTTAGGGTTTAGGGTTTAGGGTTTAGGGTTTAGGGTTTAGGATTTAGGGTTTAGGGTTTAGGGTTAGGGATTTAGGGGTTTAGGGTTATAAGGTGTACGGGGTTTACAGGGTTTCTAGATATTTTAGGGTTTAGGGTTTAAAGTGTATTAGGGTTGAGGGTTTGCAGGGTTTATAGGGTTTCTAGGGCTTATAGTACAAGGTCTAAAGGGTTTATAGGGTTTATCGGGCTTATAGGGTTTACAACATTTATAGGTTTTATAGGAATTATAGGATTGAAAGGGTTGAGTGTTCTCATCTCCGAGCCACCATGATTGCCGTGATGATGGGGTCTGCGCAGGAGCAGTGCTTCTCCTTGAAGAAGAGTACGGCGCAGCCTGCCACCCAAAACCCCAAAAACGCCAAAAACCCCCAAACCCCAAAAACCCCTAAACCCCTAAAAACCCCTAAACCCCTAAAACCCTAAACCCCTAAACCCCTAAACCCCTAAACTCCTAAAACCCCAAACCGCTAAGCACCATGGCAACCCTAACCCCCCCCCCCCCCACCCTACCACCAGCTCTGCGTGCGCAGAGGGGGGCGGCGTAGAGTTCAGATTAGGGCTTAATGAGCGTTGAGGCCTAACCCTAAACCCTAAACAGTAAACCCGAAACCCTAAACCCTAAACCCTAAACAACCCTAAACCCTCAACCCTAAACCCCAAACCCTAATCCCTCAACAACCCTAAACCCTCAACCCTAATTAACCCCTAAACCCCAAACCCTGGGCTGAAAATAGAAATCTGCCGGCGCGCCTCGCTTGGAGAGCTCCTTGATATCCTCCTTGCCCAGCCAAGCGGACGTGTCATACCAGATGAGCGCCTGCCGCCCCACCCCTAAACCCTAAACCCTAAACCCTAAACCCTAAACCCTAAACCCTAAACCCTAACCCCTAAACCCCTAAACCCTAAACCCTAAACCCTAAACCCTGAACCCTAACGCGCCCGAACACAGCCTAACCCTAAACCCTAAACCTCAAACCCAATCACCCAAAACCCAAACAGATGGCACAAAGCGAAAAACCTAAAACCCTAAACGCTCAAAGGAAAGCCTCAGGATAACGCCTGCCCCCACCTAGCCCGAAACGCCCCTAATGGCAAGGCCGTCGATTCTTTTGCGGGGTGGGGGGGGGGGGGGGGGGGAGTTTAGGGTTTAGGGTTTTGGATTTGGAGGTTAGGGCTTAGATTCTAGTCTGGTGTTTCTAGGCTTCTTGGGGGTGCTCAGGGCTCTTGGGATGCTAGGTGTGTGCGGGGGCGCTGCGTCCTTTTGAAGGTTCGAGGCTTCGAAGATGAGGTGCGGCATCACCTCGGCCGTGCACCGGCGTGCATCGCGCGTAGAGGGCCACATGCCCTTAGTAGCCCTAAACCCTAAACCCTAAACCCTAAACCCTAAACCCTAAACCCTAAACCCTAAACCCTAAACCCTACATGGTCCCTTTGAGGGTACATGTTGTCTCAATAGAGCTTGCCGAGCAACTGCTTTTCATCTGTTTCCGGCTTTCGTAAGGTGCCTTCCACAGGCCAGGCCTGCATCTTCCACATTTAGGGATTTTGAGGGTTTAGGGGCTTCAAAATTTCTATACTCCCCTTAGAACCTTAATAAAAGTAGTGTTTTTTAATATCCTCTTGGGCTTTATATGAACAAGAATACAAAAAATTTTCCAAGGGGGATATAGGTTTAGGGGTTTAGGGTTTAGGGTTTAGGGTTTATAGGGTTTAGGGTTTAGGGTTTAGGGTTTAGGGTTTAGGGTTCAAGTGACTTGTTTTGGCAGCCCGTCTAGCTCGACCGAGGCGCCGTGGGCGCCAGCAGCACCACGAGTGTAATCACCTTTAGGGGCTAGGGTTTAGGGTTTAGGGTTTAGGGTTTAGGGTTCAGGGTTTAGGGTTTAGGGTTGAGAGGGCCTGCTCTAGATTGAGGGTTTGGGGGTTTAGGGAGGTACTTATGACCCTTCTCACAGGCGCCCCTAACCCCTCGAAATCTCGGCCCTAAAACCCGAGACCCAACTGCTGAAGCCCTAATAAACTCCCACACCCTCCAGTGAAACGATGATCGATCCACGGAGCCAGGCCGTTGTTGGACGATGTCGAAGCTTGTCGGAGGCGGGGACATGCAGTGAGCAGCTCTCAATCTTCGCGGCCCGGTCGTGACGAAGCCGTGCTCATCCCGGGGTAGGCTTCTCAGACGCAAGATGTCCCGAGCTGCAACAGCGCATGCAAATAGGCAGTGCCCGTCGGGCGGCACATCCAAGAGATCCAGGGCTGGCCATGGCCGGTGGCCCGGCGTAGGGTTTAGGGTTTTGGGTTTGGGGTTTAGGGTTTAGGGTTTAGGGTTTAGGGTTTAGGGTTTAGGGTTTGGGGTTGAGAGGGCCTGCTCTAGGTTGAGGGTTTGGGGTTTAAGGGAGGTACTTATGACCCTTCTCACAGGCGCCCCTAACCCCTCGAAACCTCGGCCCTAAAACCCTAAACCCTTCTCTAAACTGCTAAAGCCCTACACTCCTAAACGCCTGGACTCTGAGCCCTCAAAGCCCCGGAGCCCTCAAGGTGGCGAAGCCGACCTTGCGCGCAAAGCCCTTCAGGTGCCGCGGCGTTTAAGGTCCTGTAACATCCCCAAGTTACCCCTTCCTCACCCGGAACGCTGCCCAGAGAACCCATAAAAGCGCACCTCAGGGCTTTAAGGGCATAGGGTTCACCCAAAGAGCCCAATACCCCTTAATTAAGCAATATTCCTTAAGTTGTATAGGGATCCTTAATATGATTTAAGGCATATTCCTTAATTAAGGGGTATTGGGCTCTTTGGGCAGGAGTTCAGGAGTTCAGGGGTGTACGGTGCAGGGTGCCAGGTTTAGGGCGGGTAGGTGTTTAGGGTGTAGGGGTTCTATGTGGGTTCTATAGGGGTCAAGAAAATGATGGCTTGCATGACTTCACGATCGAAGGCCCGAATGGTTTTGGGGTTTAGGGTTTAGGGTTTAGGGTTTAGGGTTTAGGGTTTAGGGTTTAGGGTTTAGGGTTCAGGGCTGCCCCTCATCAAAACCCGAACTCTGAGGGCCCGAAGCCGAAATAAGCACCCCCCAAGACCTAGACCGAACCGAGCCCCTAAACCCTAAACGGGGTATACCAAGAACAACAGAAGTAACAACAACAAGAGGGTTTAGGGTTTAGGGTTTAGGGTTTAGGGTTTAGGGTTTAGGGTTTAGGGTTTAGGGTTTAGGGTTTAGGGTTGAACAGTAACAAGTACAATTCCAAAAGCAGTAATGAAAACCATGAACCCCAAAACAGCAACGCTGCGCACCGTCACGGGAACGGCTCCGATCCACTCCCAGCGGGACCTGCACAGAGTGTGCGGCTGAAAAGGAGGCGTGGGGCTGAGGGGCTTAGGAGGTTCGGGTCTAGGGGTTTAGGGTTTAGGGTTTATATAGGGTTTAGGGTTTATATACGGTTTAGGGTTTAGGGTTTAGGGTTTAGGGTTGAGGGTTTAGGGCTTCGGGTTTTCGGGGGGTTGGGGGTCTAGGGATTGGGTTTGGTTTAGGGGATTAGGGGACTCAAGCCTTTCAGGTTTTCGGGCTACAAGGTTCAACGTTCCGGACTCACTCCCTAACTCACTACTGCAAGTTAAACCCTAACCCTTAAACATAAGAAAAACTGAGTCGCACAAGACCTCTAAAGCCAGTCTGAGCTTGCATTAATGGAGAGAATGTTTCTACATTCCCCTTAGAACCTGAATTAAGATGTAAGTTGTAATGCTCCCTTGGGCCCTAAACCCTAAACCCTAAACCCTAAACCCTAAGTTTTGTATAAACATAAATTTTAAACAACTGCTAAGGGGGTTGTAGGTTTTTGCAACCAAAGAGTCTGCGGGCTTAGGGTGGAGCTTTCAGGGCATGGCGTTGAGAAGGTCTAGGGTTTGGAGGTTTTGGGGTCGAGGCTTCAAACCCTAGACCCTAGACCCTAAACCCCAAACCCTGAACCCTGAAGCCTAAACCGTAAACCCTAAACCCTAAACCCTAAACCCTGAACCCTAAACCCTAAACCCTAAGCCCTAAACCCTAAACCCTAAACCCTGAACCCTTTATGGCAAGCCCCATGGCTTACGTAAGCCCGCAAGCCTCCGCCACAGACGCAGCCAGCGATGCGTGTCCAGCAGAGCCATCGGAGCACGGCTTTCGGTAAGAGCGTAGGGCGTGGGGCGTGGGGCTTGAGGCTTAAGGCTGGTTTAGGGTTTAGGGTTTAGGGTTTAGGGTTTAGGGTTTAGGGTTTAGGGTTTAGGGTTTAGGGTTTAGGGTTTAGGGTTTAGGGTTTAGGGTTTAGGGTTAGGGTTCAGGGTTTAGGGTTTAGTTTTTAGGGTCTAGGATTTAGGGTTTAGGGCTAGTGCTCCAAGGCGTCGGCTTCACAACGCTTCGCAGATTACTCAAGCAGCCTGAGAGCAAAGACAGCTTGAAGCGAAACTCAGCACCTCCCGTCCCCTCCCTCCTCCACGACGAGGGTTTAGGGTTTAGGGTTTAGGGTTTAGTGTTTAGGGTTTAGGGTTTAGGGTTTAGGGTTTAGGGTTTAGGGTTTAGGGTCAGGGACGATCCCCCCATCACAGGCTCCGGCGACGTCTGCCTTACGGCCCCGGGTGTTCCAGGCCTGGCAGCCACTCAGAACAGTTTAGGATTTAGGGTTTAGGTTTAGGTTTAGAGTTTAGAGTTTAGGGTTTAGGGTTTAGGGTTTAGGGTTTAGGGTTTAGGGTTTAGGGTTTAGGGTTTAGGGTTTAGGGTTTAGGGTTTAGGGTTTAGGGTTTAGGGTTTAGGGCTTCGGGTTTAGGGTTTAGGGTTTAGGGCTGGTTCAGGGCTCAGGTTTCGGGGTTTAGAGTTTAGAGCGCAGCGTCACAGCCTTGAGACGTCTTCCAGAACCATCTCGCCCCCCCCCCCCCCCCCCAAGGCCCCAAACATTCCCAAACGAATCTTCCCAACAGAGCTATTTAAAGAGCCTTTTCGGAGATGCTGCCCTGGTCCTGTGGTAGAGGGATGAATAAGGAGTTGAGGGCTTCGGAGGCTGCTAGGGTGTGGAGCCCGTGACTCCAAGGGATTGAGAAGCCTACACCCCTAGCAACGTCTGACGAATTTACGGGCCCTGAAGCCCCCTAAAGACCCCGAAAGCCCTTGCCCCTCAAAAACTGAGAAGCCTGAAAACCCTTAAAGCCCCTTTGAAGCCCCCAAAAGGCCCTCAACGCCTAGTTAGAGCCCCGAAAAAACCCTAAACCCTAAACCCTAAACCCTGAACCCTAAAACCTGAACCCTCAACCCTAAGGAAACAAACGAAAACCAGGCCGGGTCTGGCAAACTCCCTTCGGAGGATGTGGCGTGGCCTTTGCTGGTCCTGTGTTGAAGAGGCGCAAGCAAGAGACACCCCGCAAAACGTGGGTACATGGGTCCACCTAAACCCCTGAACCTTAGGGTTTTGGATTCAAGGTTCAGGGTTTGGGGGGTTCAGGGTGTAGGGCTTAGGGTTTCGGGTTTATAGAGTTTAGGATCTAGGGCTTTTCGTCTAGGGTTTAGGGGATAAGGATTCAGGGTTTAGTTGTTGCTTTTTCATTTTTGCGATGTATTATTTGTTTTTTTTTTTTGGGGGGGGGGGGGGGGTCGGGCTTGGGTTTTTTGCGGGGTTTGGGGGGGTTTAGGTTTTAGATGTAGGACTTGGGGGGTTTAGGGTTTTAGAGGGCTTTAGGAGTCTAGGGTTTCGCTTACGGGTTTAGGGCTTTTGGGAATTTAGGGTCTAGGGCTCCGGGGGCTTCAGGGCTTAAGGGGCTTGGGGCTGCGGACATTGGGATGTTA